CCCCCGCCGCAAGACGCGAGTCCAGTGGCGGTGACGCTTGCAGTTTGTGACGTAACACTGACGTCATCGCGCTGCGAACCCCCCGCAGGACGAGTCATTCCTGAAGGCCTTCCACCACGCGCTGCTGGAGGTGCACCTGGAGGAGGGCGCCCTGCTGTGCCCCGAGACTGGGCGGGCGTTCAAGGTGTCCAAGGGCATCCCCAACATGCTGCTCAACGAGGACGAGGTCTGACAAGCTGAGACTCGGTCAGATGACGACTGGCTGCGCTCGAGCCACCCCTGGACGCGGGCGAAACCTTGATTCGCTGGTGCTGCTCGCCTTGGGGCGGTTTGACTCATGGTGATGCACGGAGCCTCGCGCCTGCGGCCGGCCGCAGCCTTATGTTGATAGCCTAGCAGCCTGGGATTTGCACGCCTCCCGGGCCGCTCGATGCACTGCCCGGGCTCTCCCGCAGAGGAAGTGGCCACGAGCTGCCGCTCCTCCCCTCCACCAAAGCTGGCAGCTGCGATGCCTGCCGGTTACGGGGGTCGCCACACGCGAGACGCAGTGTCTGGCAGGCAGGGTTGAGCTCTAGAAGCCATTGAGGCGTGTGTCTGCTATCTGGGGCGCTCGCTGTTCTGTTGCTGCCCGCTCCGCCTTGGGTTTGGCTCGCAGTGCGCCCCCTGGCTGTTTCCTGCGTGTGGGCAAGGAAACGCCGTGCTCTGTTGCTGATTTGATGCGGCTATTACCGTACAGGCAATGACCCAGCTTTCTGTGAAAAAGAAGGTGCTTTGCACCGTCGCAGACTGGGGGCAGCAGGGGCGCGCACGGTGCAATGGGTACCGAAACATGGTGCACGGGGCGGTGCAGCTGAAGGCCGTCAGCCTGGCAATGGCCGGTGGTTTTTGTGGATGCATGCCCACAGTCCGGGGTTCCAAAAGGGGGGGTTTCACAGCACGCAAACCAATAGGGGACCGCAGTTGCCTGTGATCATGAATTGTGTACACAACGGCAGGGGAGCCGGCTCGAGCTGCCGGTCTAGGCAGCGCGTGGACTCGCCGCCCGCCGCTCTGGCGACGGGAAGTCGTCTGGCAGGTCCATGCTGGACAGCGGTGATGTCAGCGGTGACGTCAGCGGTGACGCCAGCGGTGACATCGCCGAAGAGACCAACGGCAGCTGCGACGGCGGCGGGCGGCGCACGCGCAGCGGCAGCTGCGGCAGGCCCGGCGGCGCGCCAGGCCATCCGGCAAGCAAGCCGCCGCCGACGCTGCCCCCGCCCCCCAGCCCCGGCGCCGCGGGCCACCCCGCGG